TATGAGATTTGATTGGACATTTGCGTCTCTGTGCTAATGTGGTATGGCAACATGAACTGATGTACTTGCATACGTACGAAGTTCTACGTTGCAACTAACTAACTGACTGACTGACAATTTTTGAAATGATTTAAGCAAACATTACTACAACTAAATTAAAGATGAAAAAAACAATGCCTCATTCGAATCACAAACGGTTCTACATATACGCTCCAGTTTAAATATAACTAAATCATTAAAAAGTATCATTAAAACAGCTTCAGTGTTTATTGCAATCAATATTAACACAACATAGCACACACACACACATATACATACGCACAAAAACAAAATCATTGATATACATACCCAAAAACTGTTACCCAACAATCATGTTGCTGTGTATGATCAAAGTCGTTCAAGCTATAAAGAGCAGAAAAAGCGCAAATAATTAGTTGAATGAATAAATGATTGAATCACTGTTAACTGATAATTGTTTAAAAAACTCATGACTATTGATATCTGATTTCTTACAAAGATTATGTTAATGTGAAGTTATCGTTTTTTTTTTAAAAAAAGAAATACCCATCAACATTTAGGTATATGAAGGATAATTCTTCACTGATCTTTATAAGTTCTCCTGAAAGTCCCTCGGCGGCTACTACTACCGGTCTCAAAAACCAGAATCTCGACCGAAGCTGCTACCTTGACGTGGTGGTCAGGCTTGACTATCGTGATGACCCAACCGAACTATACTGGCTAGAATATATGTTCCTGAAGGTTCAACCATGCCAGGTAGGTCGGTTGGAGAATGATCAGACTAAAAGCAGCTACTCCAGGTCTGAGGGCGAAGTCGTACTGCTGACTGCAGAAGGGTGTGACAGCAGTAAGGTGTTTCACTCGGACAAACAGCATCTGCAGCGATGCTGCCTTCTCATCACAACGAAGGAAGGGTTAGAAAAGGTCGACCTTAAAAATGTTACACCTCACCTGGTTGCACGGATTTCCCTCTCCGTCGGTAAGAGTGCCCACTAGGGGCCTTTAAGAGCGGAGCTAATACTCAAAAAACCCTCCATAAAAAGGCCGTGCGTGACCGGCCTCAAGCAGTTGTCCCTTGGGCTCTCCGGCCACACTCCCAAGTCTCTAAGACCAACACTAATCTACCTTCCTTTCTAGGTTCCTCACGAAAGAACCTTCCACGGTGTGGGCAGCCGGGAAGTGACATCCACCCTCAAACCAGTAACAGCGCACGTGATCAAACTTGTCGCAATCAAATCCTTCCTGCACCCCCTAACATCCTCCTTATCTTCACGAGAAACTCTTCTCACATGTCTTTATCAAACCGCACCTCTGATGCAAACGATTCGCGTTCCCGAAACGTTATTCTTGGTCTCCTGAAACCGCGTTCTAGACTTCATGTTGGAGCATTTAATGTACGAACATTGTGTAAAGTACGGCAACAGGCTTCATTAGCTAAGGCTTTCGAATCTCGCGGTATTGATGTATGCTGAGTCTCCGAAACGCGCATAGAGGATCCGAGTAGCGTCATCCAATTGACCTCACCAAGTCAACATAAAAAAGCAACTCGATTTACCCTTCGTGTATCTGGAAGCCGTGAAGCTGCTTCCCGGGGTATCGCTGGCGTAGGTATAGTAAAAAGTCCTAGAGCAGAACTAGCTCTGCTAGACTGGATTCCAGTATACAGTCGCTTATGCACTGTCCAACTGAATGGGAAAGTAAAGATTCGGAAAGATAGGGAAACTCGCCATTGCCTCTTCGCTGTATCCGCCTACGCTCCCACTGACTGCAGTTCAGACAAGGTGAAAGATGAATTCTACAGAAAGCTTTCGGACCTCCCCCAAAAAGTTAGGTGCTCTGACATAGTTATAATGGCTGGTGACTTAAATGCTTAAGTAGGTATACTAAGTGAAAATGAAAGACACCTAGGTGGATGTTATGGTGTCACGGCTCAGAGAACAGACAATGGAGACCGTCAGACAGACACACATACAACACAGAACTTCGTACGTATGTACATCAGTTCAGGTCGCCATACCACATTAGCACAGAAACGCAACTGTCAGTTCAAATTCCATTGTGGTAGCGATAGCAGAAGTATTAGCAGTAATGCAGAAGATTAGGGTATTATTCGGTGAGATAAAGTTAGAAGGAGAAAGATAGAGATGAGGAGGAATTCAGAAGGTTAGAATTAGAGAGAACACAAACAGTAGATGCACTTGCGCCATTGCAAACGATTTTCAGTCATGACTTTCAAGGTCTCTAACCATCGTTTACTCACATCTCGTGGACCCCAACCAGATAGCACACATCTACCAACATGACTCAGTCCACTTGTCAGTGATTTTATGTATTTCTGCCATGTTTTGGTTTGGCCGCCCCTAGCTTTATTCCAACCTACTCCTACACCACAAAACATAGCTCGTCGAGGTAGTCGTAACACATGTGCTAACCACCTTAACTGATGAAGTTTTAATACTTCATATATTGATCTTCCATTCCCACCTGGTATTGCTTACTCAGTTGTCCGAGGATATACGAGCAATGCTTCGGAGACACCTATGATCAAAGGCAAGCAATCTACTAATGTCCTCTACTCTCACCGCTCATGTATCGCCTCCTTATAGTAGGAAGGAGTGAACTGCGGCGCAGTACACTAGTCCTTTAGTCAGCAAACGGATATCTCACCTGCTCCATAAGTGAAGAAGGTTGGCAAAAGCTAATCGAGCCTTCTGTATCCGAACTGAGATTTCGTCAGTCACCAGGCCATTGGCACTGATGAGGCTCCCGAGATAAGTACGACTTGTCCTCACATCTTGAGTAGCTGCTTTTAGTCTCATCATTCTCCAATCTACCTTCCTGGCATAATAGAACCTTCAGGAATATATGTTCCAGCCAATATAGCTCAGTTGGATCATCATGATAGGCACCTCCGATCACCATGTCGAAGTAGGCGAAATTAAAAGAACTATATAAAATAAAATTACTTACTTTCGTTGTGTAAGTAAAGCTTCCGCTAAACGATCCGGTGTACTAATACCATTGTTTAAATTTACAATTATACCATTACTATGATTATGATTATTATGATTATGAAGTGGTGGTGATCCATGCATAGGTGGACAATGATTGACAACATTATGCAATGGTGTACGATGAGAATTAGAATCAATCGGTGATTGAAAAGGACTAACACCTAGTTGTTTTACAATAGGATGATTAATCGATGCATTGACAGTATAATTTGGTGTACTATGTTTTATTCCATCAAAATTATCTATACTAGACTTTGTATGAACATGACTAGCATTGTTGACAACTGACCACATACTACGTGTAGGAGGTGATGTTAAACGACGTCCAATTGATTCAGGTGGTTGACTTAAATAACGTGATTGTAATTTATTTATGTTATAATGAGAAGCCTAGAAAAATAAAAAACATTTTTAAAATAAAAGAAATGATTAGATGTTTATAATTGTTCAATTGGGATTAAACCCTAATTCTGTCAGAAGAACTATTCAGAAAATTCACTGTTACGAATTGTTTACAATGTGGAATAAGTAAAAAATGATTTGGTAATACAAACAAAAACCATTGGATAGTCAGTCAGTCAGTTAGTTAGTTGCAACGTAAGAGCTTCGTACGTGTATGTACATAAGTTCATGTTACTGCCATACTACACATTAACACACAGAGACGCAAATGTCCAATCAAATCCCATGTTGATAAACATAGTAGAGGTATTTATGGTAATGATGAAGAAGATTAGGGTTTGAAGATATTATTCAAGAAGCATAATTCAGTGAGATGAGGTTAGAAAGACAAAGGCAGAGGTGTTGACGAATTCAGAAGATTAGGATTTGAGAGAGCACAACGAATGAATGCACTTGCGCCATTGCAAACGATTTTGAGCCACTTCGTTCATGGTCTTTAACCATTGGTGACTTTCGTCTCGCGGACCCCAACCAAGTAGCCTACATTTACCAACATGACTCAGTCCACTAGTCAGTGACTACATGGATTGCTGCAATGTTTTGCTTTGGCCGCCCATAACTTACTTCCAACCTACTCCTACACTACAAAACAAAGTTCGTCGAGGCGGTCGGTGGTTAGGCATACGCAGCACATGTCCCAACCATTTCAACTGATGAAGTTTCAATACTTTATCTATTGATTTGCCATCCTTACCTAAAATTCGTTTTCTTACGATAGTATTGCTTACTCGGTTGTCCCATGATACACGAGCAATGCTTCGGAGACAACGATGATCGAAAACTAGTAACCTACGAATATCTTCTACTCTCAATGGCCATGTTTCACAGCCATATAGGAGAACAGAGCGAACTGCTACGCAGTACACTAGTCCTTTGTTTAGCGAACGGATATCACGCATACGCCATAAGTGACGCAGGTTGGCAAAAGCCAATCGAGCCTTCCGTATCCGCGCTCAGATTTCGTCAGTCACCAGGCTATCGGCGCTGATGAGACTCCCAAGATAAGTGAAGTGATCAACACGCTCCACTACTTCACTCCCTATCACTAGTTTAGGTGCCGATGCAACCCAGTATTGAAGCAACATTTTGCATTTCGAGGATGAGAACCGCATGCCGAACATGCGTGCATTGTTGCTTATGATAGTCAGAAGACTGCATTTTGTCAGCGTCTTCACCGAATAGAACTGTCATCGGCATATTCTAGATCAGTAAGGGAATTTCCAGGTAGAAGGTCAACTCCTGAAAAATCTGATGAGCTTAATGTTAACTCTAAAAGCATATCAACGACAAAGTTAAACAGGAATGGAGAGAGTGGTCATCCCTGACGGACACCACTTGATGTAGAGAATTCCGATGAGAGTTCGCCGTATGCTCTCACCCGACCAGTAGTGTTCGAGTAAAGAGCTTGTATATAGTTAGTGTACTTCTTTGGTACATCTTTCAATAACAGACACTGTCACAGAACCTCACGATCCACTGAGTCAAATGCCGCTTTTAGATCCAGGAACACGACTATTGTCGGACGTCTAAATGTGTGTCTGTGTTCCAGGACCTGTCGTAGTGTGAAGATGTGGTCCATACAACCACGTCCGGGTCAAAAAGCAGCCTGGTTTTCTCTAGTCTGCTCGTCACGAGCTCTAGTTAGACGTTTAAGTATAATGGAGGCTAACAAATTTAGACACTATAATAGTTAGACTGATTCCCCTGTGATTGTCACAGGAGGAGTGTTGTGGATAGTTGGTTATCAAACTCTGCCTGGAGCTTCTCTGGGGCTACTGCCAATCCCAAGACCGAATAAAGCAGGAGGGTTGAGCATGGGGGGGGGTTGACAACACCATCCCGTAGAAAACTAACTGACACTAAGAAAACGATAAAATGCTAACGTTAGTTTATTATCACAGAATGGTTCAATCTAATCAGTCATAACTCAGCGAAATAACCTTATCCTCGTCTGAATTTTCAGTAGACCTTTTACCAGGTGGCTCGCTTATTGAATTGGAATATGCCGATGACATTGTCCTACTTGATGAAGACGCTGACAAAATGCCGAGTCTTCTGATCACCCTGAGCAACAATCCAAGCATATTCGGGATGCGGTTCTCACCCTCGAAATGCAAAATGTTGCTTCAAGATTGGGTTTCATCGGCACCTGAACTAGTGATAGGGAGTGAAATAGTCCAGCGTGTAGACCGCTTCACTTATCTGGGGAGTCTCATCAGTGCCGATGGCCTGGTGACTGACGAAATCTCAGCTCGGATACATAAGGCTCGATTGGCATTCGCCAACCTGCGTCACTTATAGCGTAGACGAGATATCCGTTTGCTGACTAAAGGTCGAGTGTACTGCGCAGTAGTTCCCTCCGTCTTACTTTATGGCTGTGAAACATGGCCATTGAGAGTAGAATATATTCGTAGGTTACTGGTTTTCGATCATAGGTGTCTTCGAAGCATTGCTCGTATATCCTGGGGCACCCGAATGAGCAACGCTGTTATTAGGAAACGGGTGCTAGGTAAGAATGGCAGATCAATAGACGCAGTAGTGACACTTCATCAGTTGAGGTGGTTGGGACACGTGTTGCGTATGCCTAACCACCGACTGCCTCGTCGAGCTTTGTTTTGTAGTGTAGGAATAGGTTGGAAGAAAGTTGCAGGTGGCCAGACCAAAACGTGGCAGAAATCCATGAAATCATTGACGAGTGGACTTAGTCATGTTGGTAGTTGTCGACTACCTGGTTGTTGTCCGCGAGATGATAATAATCGATGGTTAGATACCTTGAATGACATGGCTCAAAATCGTTTGCAATGGCGTCGGTGCATTTATGTTTTGTGTTCTCTCAAATCCTAATCTTCTGGGTTCTTCAACAACTCTAGTTTTGACTTTCTAAACTTTTCTCATTTAATCATACTTCTTGAATAATATCTTCTAATCCTAACCTCTCCGATTACTTCTAATACCTTTACTACCTCTTCTACTATTGGATTTGAATTGACAATTACGTCTCTATGGTGATGTGGTACGGCGACATGAACTGATGTACTTACGTACGAAGTTCTACGTTGCATCTGACTGACTGACTGACTGACAGCGAACAAACACTGCAAACACAGATAATATATAAAACAAAAAAAATTATTTTCAGCCTACAAGCAACGATTTTCATTACACAATGATCACACTTAATAGAATTTGATATTTCACAATAATTCTCATAACTAATTACAACGTAAGGTGTTATTTGAAAACTGCTGCATAAAATAGTCTTTAATCCATGATAAATTTGAAGAATTTAAAAGTATTTATATTTACTAAAATGTGATTTTAATTATTACACGAATAATGTAACTCTTCAAAGAAAACACTTTCTAAATAATCCCTGGAAAAAAAAAGAAAACTTACAGGTAGGTTGTGTGAATTGCCTGAAAGTGAAGAAAATGCATTTGAACGTGGAACTTTCGTTTCTGTAATTGGGCTAGTTGACGCTGTGTCTGTAATTGGTACATTATCAGTCATTAAAAATCCTGGAAGATATTGACAAGTGTTTGGAGAAGTATTTGAGCCTGTTCCATTTGGGTTCATAGGAGGAGAGCCTAAAGTCATTGGTTCAGTATGGTTGAAAGCGGTGCTGTGTATCATCCCTCTTGTCCTTTGTTTTTTAGAAAAAAATAAAACCAGAAAACCATAGAAACTTTTCTAATATATTTCCAACAATGTAACACAATGAGAAGCAGTGACTGGATTTAAGCTCTCTTATAAATATGCACTAATTGACTAACCTAAAGACAGATCCTGACCATTGTATCTATATTTTAAAAAAATGCAATAGCGAAATATTGAAACTTCTTCAGTTGAAGTGCTTGAGACATGTATTACGTATGCCCGACTGACGCGACGAGCTTTGTTTTGTGGTGTAGGAGTAGGTTGGAAGAAAGTTAAGGGGCGGCCAAACCAAAACATGGCACAAATCCATCAAGTCACTGACTAGTGGACTGAGTTATGTTGGTAGATGTAGGCCACGTGGTTAGGTTCCGTGAGACGAAAGTCACCAATGGTCAAAGACCTTGAACGACATGGCTCAGAATCGTTTGCAATGGCGCAGGTGCATTCACTGTTTATATTCTCTCTAATTCTAACCTTCTGAATCCCTCATCATCTCCATCTTTCTCTTCCTAATTTATCTCACTGAATAATACTTCTCGAATCCTATCGTCGCTCCCTAATCTTCTGCATTACTGCTAATAATTCTATTATCGCTATCACTTGTGGATTTGAACTGACAGTTGCGTTTCTGTGCTAATGTGGTATGGCAGTCTGAGTTGATGTATTTATGTACGAAGTTTTGCATTGTACTTGTCTGTCTACATCAGCATAAGGTAGACAATGTGTGAATAGAAACTGACTAGACAGTATTAAGTACTGAGAAAACATAAAACTTCACTAGATTACCTATTTTCACATTATTTCCATCAGTTTATCTACCCTAAAATCATTATCAGTTGCTAGTGAGCCAGAAAATATTAGCAAATCAGCACCTAGAACCTAATTTGTGTATGGTAGTAACTGGAAATTACTTGATGATTCTATCATTTTTGCAATTCTATGGTAAAGTACACCAGGTTATTAAGGGCAGGAATGGCAAGTGAACAGTGAAAGAAAAGATAGATTTGAACAGAATCAGATGACTACATTTTATTTCATTGATGGACATTCAAAAAACCATGTTCATCTTAACTAGCATTGATTCAAATGATAAAAAAATGGAACACGAGGCTAGCTGCAGATATAAGACTGGCATATTTGTTTGTTCCGGAATGTTTTGTATTGTTTTATTGATTCGAGTTTCAAAAATAAACTCTTAACATCCCGATATGCAACCACTTACGTGCAAAGAGTTTGAAACTCACATGTAGTGTGCTTGTGACGCGTACAGGGTTCTCAGACCATCATAAATTAACAAGGTGGATAGATTTCCGAGTGAAAAGCCTGCAACTTAATCGACGAATTATGAAGTGGATATCAACACTTAGTCGACTGGTGCAACTTCCGGAAGTTCTGAGTGCATGCTATACATTTAAGTGATAACAGACATTCATAAAAATACAAAAAACGTATGGACGCTATAGACGTAAGAAGAATACACACTGAAAATAGATATCATATCTAAAATTCATTATTTCTATGCCCCACTCATTTCTCTTATTTCGAACAGTTCGTGGTAAAGCCGTACTTTTTTTTCCAAAAATGATGACAAGAGAAGTTGGAGGTACATGAAAGTATAACACTGATAAACTACCATACATTAGGATTTTAAGTAAGAACACTAGGATGATTAAACATACCACAAGTGACCTAGTATCTACAAATCCCCACCAAAAGACTCGCCCTAGATTTTAAACAGTATGAATATGTATAGTTTAAAACCATTCTATTTTTCTATAAGAAATAATACTACGAACTTTGAATCAAAATCTGGGACTTCAAGTCAGGTACGGTATATATCTGAATCTATCTATTTTCATTGTCCAATATACTTTGAGAGCTATCAAACGTGTTTCCGTAGGTTAAATATATCATCCTAATGCTTATTGAATTCTCCATCAACCAGCAACAGATGAATTTATTTTAAACCTTTCTTATGACGAGGCACTGAACCAAGTAGTCGAATGACGATATTGTCAGAGATATGATTACTTCATGATCATGAACTAGAATCAAGTTTTATTGAGGAGATTTTAAGAATGGTATTAGTCAAACGATTAAGGCTGAACTTTTCCACTTTTATATACAGTTATATACTCAAGATATTCCGGATCCGTTGGGCCAAACATCATCAGCACCAACCTTCCAGTGAGACGAAAGGAGAGAATAGGTTTTGCGAATGCTGATCGTAAGAACGGAGGAGATTAAAAGGACTAAGTAATATAAATTATGAAGACCTGCATAGGATAATAAAGAAGTCTCAGTGACTTAACTCACATGTGTACATTTCATTTATTATAGCTCTATCATGGTGACTTGACATAACATGAATGGAACGCCCTATAGCAACTCACAAACTTTACGAGTTGTGTTTACATTAATTTCGTTAGGCCAATTTTTAAATACTGAGCAGGTCGAATAACTGGTATAGCAACAACTTTTCTGAACGCACCGTGCTTTTGTTACTTTTGTGCTTGCATGAGCTTTTATGTTTAGTGGTGGTTGAGTCGAGATTGACTCTGTATCACTTATTAAATGATAATTACTAGCGACCACGTCACATGGAGATGATGTAATAAAATTCGGTGGTAGGGAATGTATTTGCTGGTGATTTTCGTGGTGTATCCAAAGATATACCTGGAATCGGTCCATGAAAGTGAGGCGAAAGTACAGAGACGGTGGAGCAACGATGGCAGTGACACCAAATGGAACGTCCTGCGAGTAAGGAATGTTATCAACAAAAGTACAGTTATTATTATCTGGTACAATCGGTTACAATAATGAGTATTCTATTAATACCATAAAAAGACGATCCACCAGAGCAGTCGCCTGCTAGAAGAGGTTCACACTTTTGATACGCTCACGGTTATGCTTGGGGGATATGATCGGCAAAAACATACGATTGTAGTGACGGAAGGGTTGACCAGACAGGAAGTGTTCCATGATGCTCGAGTTGTCACCGAAGGTGCTTTCACTGTGAACGGCCACCAGCGTTACCTCGTCACATTCTGTTGCTCGAGTAGCTCGCCACACCAGGGTGGCTCGTATCCAGAGGGTTGAAGAATTGCGTTTGTGTTAATGGTCCGGATCCATAAGAAAACGCTACAGACGGTACCAGATTGAGCGAAGCACAACGCGAAACCAACCACACAGTAATCAAGTTCCATACCAAACGTATGCAAGGCGTAATCGGGACCATGACGTAGACATGCGTTGACAGTGAGCGTGGACTGATTTAGGCCATGCTTTCACAAGATTGACCGAAAGTCTGAATGTCAACAAACAGGAACATGGCGCAGACGTGGGGCTTAGGATAAAGTAAATGAGAAATAAAGAGAAAAGTTTGTAGCTTGTATGAGATACGAGGATAAAGTCCTAAATCGTATTTGTCGGGTGAATGAGTATTAGTTGTGGAAGCGTACAGGTGGGTCGTACGTGCCGACCAGAACGTTATGGCAGTCTTGTTAATGTACCCACGAGCCGTCAATCTAATCTGAAGTCAGAGTCGTTGATTAGTGGATCGTGAGACTGACATTTCATCACCCGTTAGTTGGTGCCAGATGAGGCGTGCTGTTGACTGGGAAGTAAGATTGAGGTCTCCGATGTGTCTAGCAGTGGGGTCCGAAGTAGATGTAGGGATTCCGCCAGTAAGTTTGATGTGGTCTAGCATTCAGTCTCGAAACAATCGGGTCGGGCCCTGTCATCGATATGTGCTGGCATGATACGATCATGGCTGACGATCTCGACGCGGCCATGTCGATCAACCTTTGAAGGTCTTTTGACGATGAGAAATCACATGAAATGGTCCTTCGTAAGGCTGTTGCAAAGGTTACGTACTCAATCTATTTCGTGAACAGGTATTATACCTCTCAAAGTGAGAGCGACCTCTCGATGCTGTATTTGAGATGACAGGGGAGGCAGTGTTCGCTCGAACTTAGACAATCGTTGGACGCAATTTGATTTACTGAAGTTACTAGTGCTTCGTTGTGTGGATCCACAAAATATAGCAGGACTATTGCTTAACGCCTAGCGTAGCATATTCATTCTCCTCTCTTTAATGTTAACGGTTCGAAGACTCATTTATTTTCTCATTTATACAGTATATTTTTCTAACCCTTATTCCTTTTGCTTGCTCTTTGGAAAGTGCGTGTGATTTTCACTTCCTAAGTCTGTGGTATTATGATCTTGTATGGTACGATAATTTACGTAATGAACCCTCTGTATCACAAATGGCATAGCCGAATTTAATTATGATCCTGATACCAAGGTTACTTTGACTTGTGACTGTGAAGAACAAAACTAGCTATGTCAATTAGTAGTGTAGGATCCGAAGCTCATCCCTTATTGTGACATGGCCTACTGGAAATTACCTAACGTCTTAATAATCTACAAACGAGACTCAACTATAGTATGCAGAGGTGGGTTGATCAAACCCCCTGATCTGACAGTGCATTGAGTACAGACATGCTATCTAACCCAGAAGTAAATCTGTCCCCATAACACCCAGTGTCATCCCACATCCAGCCTAAGTCAAAAAGATGAAACAATCCCCCTGCTGTTTGCTGGCACTACAGCTCATGGCACCTTTGTACGAAACAGCCCACTTAGGCAACAACGATGCATGAAAGTGTAAGGTCATCGGTCATTAAGATGGTTTTTGCCAAAAGAGAAATGCCAAACCGATCCAGAAGTACGAAGAAGTCTGTTCCTAGATCCGGTTAAGCCTAATATCTTCCTGTCAAAGCTGATCGCCAGGTGATTACCCTTGATATGAAGTATGAAGATTGCAAACAGATACCGCATCTGATGTCACCATCCTCTCATTCAAAATTAGACAAATTGGGAACCCTGCAGATCTCTTTACCATGCTGAATGAGGGAAGGTTTTTCGCAAAGTTCGATCTAGCTGATGCATATTTGCAAGTGGAAGTAGATGAAGCGTCAAAAGAGTTGCCTACTATCAATACCCATCGTGGTTTGTTCCAGTACAACCGTCTGCCTTTTGGAATCAAGACCGTCCCATCTATTTTACAGCAAGCTAATCAGATACAATCCTGTCAGGTATGTCGAGGGATCGCA